AAGCCACTAGAAGGCAAGCCTGCCACCTTTAGCCAAAAAAGCATATCGGCTGATGCTAAGGCAGTATGTGGGGAAGGAAACCAGAGGCCGTTTTTTTTTAATGCATGTCAATGGAGAAGAGGCTTCACTACGCTGAATAAACAGCTTTTGAGAGGAAACGGCTTATCATTTAATGAATCCACAGCCTATCGGCTAATCCTCAACACGTTTTACACTAAACGGTACTTTTGGATTGAACTATTTTTAGAGTTCACCCCGAAAAAAACGCAGTTTTATAAGAGAAGTCACTGACTTTTTGCAACAGGTGGGATTTAGCTTACAGCACTTCTCATTCATTCCTATGGGATCCGTAAACGGCGATTGAGTGTCGCACAACTCTGACTGAAATTCATTGACGTCAAGGCTGTAATGTAATTGGTTATTAAGGCCGACGTGATACAAGTTAGCCGTTACGCTTTCTCCAATAGTAAGTAATACAGACCCTCTCATCTCTCTATAGTAAGACTCGAGTTTGATTCAGTCGAACCAAACAAAACAGGTGTGAATACACCCTTAGTTTTTATAGCATCTTTTACAATCCAGCACCCCAGAATGCACCGGAACCGGGCCTTTTCGGAGCCCGAGTATTCTGCGGAGTATTCGGCGGACTGTTCAGTCACCCTGCCCTCGGACCCGGGGCAGGCAGTGGGACGCACCCATGAGGTGACTGTGCGCAGCTCCGGCTGCTGCCTGTGTCTGCCGCGGTTCATGCGTCTGACCTTCGCGCCGGACTCTCTGGAGAACCTCTACCAGACCTACTTCCGCCGGCAGAGGCACGAGACCCTGCTGGTGCTGGTGGTGTTCGCGGCCCTCTTCGACTGCTACGTCATTGTGATGTGCACTGTGCTCTACACGAGCGATAAGCTGGCGTCTGTGGCCGTGGCGTCGGTGGGGCTGGCAGCGGACGTCCTGCTGTACCTGCTGTGCCGGTTCGGTCTGCTCCCGGACCGTGTGACGCGCCGCCTAGTGCCCTATGTCTTGTGGGTGCTCATAGCGGCCCAGAACTTCTGTTACCTAGGACTGAACTTCGCTCGCTTCCATCAGCCCAGCGACACGGTGGGCTGGCAGGCGTTTTTTAGCTTTTCCTTCTTTCTGACGTTGCCGCTACGGCTGACCCCTATAGTGCTCATCACAGCCGTGTCCTGCGGTGTGCACACGCTCGTCCTGGGCGTCACGATTGCCCAGCAGCAGCAGGAGGACATTCAGGGGGCGGCTCTTGGAAGACAGGTGAGAAAAATGATGCCAGCGGTTTGGAGGAGTAAAGATGGGTCTTGAGAGATTCGAACGATCATGATCCATGTTCCACGTTCCATGAAGAAGGTTTAAAATCTCTATGGAACCTTTCCAATCCACAAAAGTTCCTAAAGAACCATTTTTGTTTCCCCAAAGAACCTTTCAGTAGTCAGTTCTTGTGTGAAGAAAATTCTGACTTGATTTAAAAAAATAAAATGATGCTAGCAGTTTGGAAGAGTGAAGATGGTTCATAAGGTTCTTTATTGGCATCTACGGTTCCGTGAAGAACCTTTAAAATCTCTATGGAACCTTTCCAATCCACAAAAGGTCCAAAAGAACCATTTTTGGTTCCACAAAGAACCTTTCAGTGATCACACTCTTAAAAATAAAGGTTCCAAAAGGGGGTTTTCATAGTGATGCCATAGAAGAACCAGTTTTGGTTCCCCAAAGAACCTTTCAGTGAACAGTTCATAAAATAACCATTTTTTCTTACTGTGAAGAACATTTTAATAATCTAAAGAACCTTTTTCCACTGTAAAGAACCTTTTGTGGAATGAAAAGGTTCCATGGGTGGGTGTGGAACCATTGATGCCAAAAAAGAACCTTTATTTTTAAGAGAGCAGTTTTTAAAAGATCCCTGTTTGGTGAAGTATGAAGAACTTTTTTTCACAAAAAATAACCTTTTGTGGAATTAAACAATTCGACGGATGTTAAAGGTTCTTCATGGAACCATCGATGCCAATAAAGTACCTTTATTTTTAGAGCTATTTACCACGATTTAGAAAATTTAGAACCATTTAGAAAAACATGGTTCTTCTAAGAACCAACCACTGAAAGTTGCTTTGAGGAACCAAAAATTATTCCTCTTAGAGAAACTTTTTAAAGCTTTATTTTTTAATGGTGTAAATTATGTTAATATCTTCTCACAGTTCCTCCTGAGGTTTCTGATCAAAGTCCGATTCAACTGGTGTTAAAACCTGAGAACGTGACAGACTCAATGACAACAATTTTTGGCATCAAACAAGCACATGCTTTGTATTTTAAAGGCTGCATGAAGATTTTACTCTTTAATATATATCTCAGTCATTTAAATCTTAAATGGTTAAGATACGTGTCACTAAATTTATACTTGCCTTAAGTCATTTTGACGGGAATACATCTTAAAAAGCCTTGTAGATTCAAGCCTCGTAGACAATTTTACACACACACACACACACACACACACACA